CTTAAGGGGCCGCCTGGCAGTAGGATCAGCATCCATTCCTGGTGCACAAGCTGGCTTTTTTGGAGCTCATTATCTATGGTGGGACACCTTACACAGCCTTGATGCAGGGCGAGGGGCTTGGACCTGCCTCAACTGAATGTACCAGGCTCTGCTGACTCCCCATGGGAGGCCTTACCATGTCCGAGGAGGGAATGTGGTGTGGGTTGGGGAGGGGGAAGGCTGGGAGATGAGAGGAGGGAAGAGAAGGGGATCTGTGATTGATATGTAAAATGAATAAAAAAATTCTTAAAAAAGTAAAGAAAGAAAAAAGAAAATGGGCTGAGCCGGGCAGTGGTGGCACACACCTTTAATCTCAGCACTCAAAAGGCAGAGGTAGGCAGATCTCTATGAGTTTGAGACCAGCCTGGTCTACAGAGAGAATTCCAGGACAGTGGGGCTACACAGACAAACTCTGTTTCAAAAGGGGGGCGGGCTGCACAAGCCAAGAGGTAACAAGCCAGTAATCAGCACTCCTCAATGGCTTCTGCTTCAGGTCTTGCCTCTCCACATTCTTGCCTTGCTTGAGTTCCTGCTTTCGCTTCCCTCAGTGATAGTGATAGTCTATCCTCAGTGATAGACTGTTACCTGGAAGTGTAAGGCAGAATAACCATTTTCTCCTCGTGTGGCTTCTTTGTGGTTTTATATCAATGAATAGAAATAAGTCTTAAGAGAATAGTGAAAGGAAAATTTTAAAATCTTTGTACTCATGAAGCATTTTAGAAAGAAAAAAATACAATAATAAACTATACAAATAAATGTAGCATGAATTGTTAAAGGTCTTATTAATAAAAACAAACCCAGGGCCAGTTATTGGGGTGAATGCTGAAAGATCAAAGAAACAGAACCAGTCACAGCTAATCTCACCTTGCCAGTTCCTCAGCTGATCCTGTTTCCTCAGACTGAAAGCCTCTGTGTCCTCATTCGAATGGATCTCAGCTGAACTGCTGCTCAAAAGCCTAAAAGCTTAACCACCTTTAGTTTCTGGTTTTCATACCTTATATACCTTCCTGCTTCCTGCCATCACTTCCTGGGATTAAAGGCATGTGTCACCATGCCTGGCTGTTTCCAGTGTGGCTTTGAACTCACAGAGATCCAGACATATCTCTGCCTTCAGAATGTAAGGATTAAAGGCATGTGTGCCACCATTTTCTGGCCTCTATGTCTATCTAGCAGCTGTTCTGTTCTCTGACCCCAGATGAGTTTATTAAGGTGCACAACATACCAGGGGACACAATATCACACACACAAAAATTAGAAATTAGAAACTGCTTAGTGTTGTGGGAATAAAGCAGGAAAAGTGTTCTTGAGTGTGGTCAGGAAGTTTACAAGTTTAAAAGATTAGTCAAGAAAGTTCTCAAGAAGTGCCCACTGGGCAAAGACTAAAAGGAGGATGCAAAGGCTCATCTCGAACACTTGAGTTTGGTGAAACAGAACGGTCAGATGAGAACAAAAACAAGGTAGATAGGTAGCAAGAAGAGCCGGCCCCTGTGGCTGCTTGCCCAAAGCAGTCTTGACAGTATGTGAATGACACTGCACTGCAGCCGGGGGACCCAGAATGTGCTTGGCTCTGAATTTTATGCCCTGGCAATCTTTTGGATCGTGGAACTCAAGTATTACAGAATATCCTGCTGCAGGAAGAACATGAAGAGCCTCAGTTCCTCCAAATAGTCAACTTAGGACCCAGAAGTCGTGGTAGACGTTAGTATTCTGACAACTGTAAGAAAGAGGGTGGAGAACTAGGTTCCCTCAAGCTAACTTGCCTTCTTAGAGGGAAGAGATTACACAGGTACCTACTGAGGAGAGATGCTGGAAGCTGAGCAGTGTGCCTCAGAGTTAAGGACATGAAAATAAGCCAATGTGGCTTAAATGGAGTTAGCGGGGGCAGAAAGAAAAGGTCTGATTTTAGGGCATATAGAAAGACACTTTTAGGATATGAAACTTTTATTTAGAGCATCACAGAAAGGTAGGTGTGCTCTAGAATTCACTATGTAGCACACCTCTGGAGTGCTGGAATTACAAATGTATGCCACCAAGTATGGCTTTATGTGGTGCTAAGAATTAAACTCAGGACTTTGTCCAGGCTAGGCTAGTACCCTAGCAGATGAGCTATCCCACCAGCACATACAAACCTTTATTGAGCTCTATCTAAACACTACCTCTTCACTATCTTTCTATTTCCCTTCTGATGATAACAATTTCTTTTCAACAGCCACAACAACAACAAAATCTTACATATAATTCTAAATATCAGTGATAGGTATCCCATACATATGCTGTGTGTATATATAAGTATATAATCACTATATACATATATATATACACACACAGAATATATTTATATATAGAAATTTTTTAACTTTATGCACAGGAAACACAAGATACTTAACTGCAATATGAATTTTACATGTGGGGACCTTGCATTTTTAAAAACACTAAAGATGTTCTTGACATTTTCATCTACTTTCTTAAATTAAGTGGAGGCAGGGGATCTAAAAGTCTCAATTGGCATAGCCTGTGCTGTATGACCCACTGCCTCTCGGAGAAAGTAATGATTCCTCCAGACAGACAAGCTAGTTGACTCACTCTTTCTTCTACAGTGACAAACTAGATGGATGGATGTTTTCTAAGCAGTTCTTAACAAAAAACTCACAGAAGACACACTTTAAAACATTTCATTAAAACATTTCTTCATGAGGTCCCATTTCCAATTTGATCATTTACAGGGTCCAGTTAAGTTTAATAGTCACAAAGCAGACAGCTTGTGAGCATGCACATCACACATGTGATAGCTAATCCTAAGGCATCAGTTATCTTTAAAAAAAAAAAGGAAAAGAAAAAGAAAAAAAGCATAATGTTAGCTCTCATGTCTTCTAAACTGAACCAAAGAAGGGGGGTTTGAAACCTAAGAATTTTATCTTCTGTAAAATATTATCCTCCTTAGCCTTAACTCACAACTAGTGCTTCATTACTATACTCTAATAATATTTCCACTAGTTTTATTGGTTATTGTATAAACAGTTAAGTATTATTATAAACCATTAAGTATAACTTTAAAAACTGGAAAAGAAGACTTCTCTTTAAACAAAAATCAGCTGAGATGTACCTCAATTAGTATAGGGCTTAACTAGTATGCATGAAACCCAGTTCCATCCTGTCTTCGTTAGGGTGACTATTGCTGTGATGAAACACCATGACCAAAAGCAACTTGGAAAGGAAAGGCTTTATTTTGCTCACAGTTCCATGTAACAGTTCATCATCAAAAGCAGCGAGGGTGGGAACTCATGCAGGGCAGTAAGCTGGAGACAGGAGTTGATGCAGAGGCCATAAGAGGAGTGCTGCCTACTGGCTTGCTCAGTCGGCTTTCTTATATAACCCAGGACTACCTGCCCAGGGATGGCCCCACCCACAGTGGGCTGGGCCCTTCCCCGCCAATCACTAATTAAGTAAATGCCCTACAGGCTTGCCTGCAGCTCCATCTTATGGAGGCATTTTCTACATTGAGGTTCCCTCTTCTCAGATGACTTTTGCTTATGTCAAGCTGACATAAAACTATCCAGCATTTGTCAATTTGACACATAAACACATCACTATAAACACACAACCTTTCCTTTTTCATTCGTCCCCAAGAACTCACATTAAATATATAAATAACTTTAAAAGTTTCATAGTCTGTACAAATTCAAACACATTAAAAATTCAGTCTCGCCGGGCGGTGGTGGCGCATGCCTTTAATCCC